GCTTTCACCGAGTTGAAGCTAGCGTCAGTGTAGCAGGTCAGGAGCATCTCCCCCTTGCTCAAATCAGCTGCACCCCTCTGCAGCCTCTGCCTCACAGCACTGTACTCCAAACCCACTGATGCCGTTGCACTCACATAGCGGACCAACCTCTTGGCCGCTTCCAGCTGCTCATGACTGGGGCGTGAAACCACACTGGCAAGCCTAGATGTTGCAAAGGCAATGTCAGGCCGTGTGTGGTTAGCCGCATAGTTGAGTGCCCCAACCATGGAATGAAAAAGTTTCTTTTCACTCTCACCCACCACCTCCTCATCAGCACAGGGCTCCACAGTGAACCCCGAAGGCAGTGGGGTGGCTGGCTTTCCTCCATCTTGCAGCCCATACTTCTCAGCCAGCCCCTCACAATACTTTCTCTGGTGCAACCTCAACACTCCCTTGTCAAGGTCCCTCTCCACATGCATCCCAAGGTAGTATTTCACATCTCCCATCTTGGAGCACTTGAACTGCATTTCCAGCATCTCCTCCACACGCTCAATCATTGCAGACGACTCAGAGAAGAGCAGGATGTCGTCCACGTACACCAGGAGCATGAGGAACTGCTCCTTCTCTTGCAGCAGGAACAGGCTGTGATCACACTCGCTCTTCTTGAACCCCCCGGCCAGCAGTGTCTCCTCCAGCTTGTGGTACCATGCGCGAGGAGCCTGCTTCAGGCCATAGATGGCCTTCTTGAGCCTGCACACCCTGCCGCTCCCATCATCCAACCCCTCAGGCTGCAGCATGTACAGCTCCTCCAGAATGATTCCATTGAGGAATGCAGTGATTATGTCCATCTGCTTGATCTTCCAGTCACGGTTTGCAGCCATTGCCAACATCGTCCTCAGTGTAGTGCCTTTCCCTACAGGAGCAAAGATATCATCAAAATCCTTCCCCTTTGTCTGTTGGAACCCCTTAGCCACAAGCCTTGACTTGTAGCGGGTCAGCTCCCCATCGGGTCCGTACTTATGCCTGAAGATCAGCTTGGAAGAAATGGCCTTCTTCCCAGGAGGCAGCTCACACAGCTCCCACGTCTCATTCTCCAGCAGAGAGTCATACTCCTCCTTCACACTCTGCTTCCACTTCTCAGCGTCGGGCCCGCTCAATGCCTCGGCTAACGTCTTGGGCTCAGGGACGGCTGCCCAGTAGCAGTGTGCTATCTCATCCTCATCACACTGCTCAGCCACACTCCCAGCCCGTACTACCTTTGGCTTGCCAAAGCTCGGATAGGTCAGCCGGTTAGGAGGGCGCACTTCCCTCCGGGGACGGTCAGCCGGACGCGCGGCACCTTGTGGAGCACCTTGCTGCTGCTGCTGTGGCTGCTGCTGCTGCTGCGGCTGCTGCTGCTGCTGCTGCTGCTGCTGCTGCTCCTCCACCTCAGGTTATCCCCCATCCTCAGTCACCCCAGAAATCTCCTCCTCTGAGACAGTGACCTGCACTTGCCTCGAAGGCCGCTGCACCTCATCAGTCTCAATGATTAGCGGTGTAGTGGGAAGCTTCTGCTGCTGCTGCTTCCACTCCTTGTAGTACAAGGACTCAAGGAACTTCACATCCTTCGACACAGTCAGCTGCTGGCTGGTCAAGTCCCAAATCAGCCAGCCCTTGTGATCCTTAGCAAGCCCCAAGTGCACACCCCATCTCCCAGAAGCTTCCAGTTTTCCCCTCTTCTCCTTCGGCACATGAAACACCACCATACAGCCATAAGTTCTCAGCATGTTGACTGCAGGCACACTCCCATACCACTTGGTGTAGGGGACCCATTGCTTGTCCCCCACAGTCGCCAGCACTCGGTTCTTCACAACAACGACCTGCCGCAGTGCTGTCACCCAAAACGGATCCGGCAGCCCTGCACGCCCAAGGAGAGTGCGAGCACCTTCCTGCAGGGTCCGGTTGAACCGCTCAGCCACGCCATTCTTCTGAGGGTTGTAAGGCACTGTGAGCTGATGCTGGATCCCCTTCCGCTTCAGCTCCTTCTCAAAATCAGCGCCGATGAACTCTCCTCCGTTGTCAGTGCGGATCACCTTCACCTTGTGTCCGCTCTCCCTTTGTGCTCTCGGCATCCACTCCTTAAGAACAGCCGCTGCCACCTCCCCCTTAGTCTTGAGAGGGTACACCCACACCGCACGCGTGTGGTCGTCCACAATTGTCAAGAAATAGCGGCTGCCCGAGAGAGAAAGGGCCCTCGTGGGGCCCACCACATCAATGTGCACTAGTGCAAGTGGTGCCTTTGCTGGTCTTGTGCTGCTGCTGAAGGGAAACTTCGTGAATTTGGTCTCAAGGCAGGTAGGGCAGCTCCCAATCTCCTTTGCTCCCCCCTTCACCTCCAGCCCCTTCAAGCACCCATCCTTTACCAACTTCTGCAGCATAGGAATGTTCACATGGCACAGCCTCTCATGCCACGTCTCACAATCAGCCTCACCACTCCCAGATGAAGCCTTTGCCCATGCAGTTGTCGCATCCACACCAGCAAGCACCTCACCATGTGGCTGTTGTGGCTGCTGCACCTTCTTGATTGCATCCAGGGCCCTATCAGTTGGTGCAGTCTCCTCTCCTCCCGCAGTTGCTTTAGCCGCTGCCGCTGCCTTTGCCGTTGCTGGTGGTTTCCCCTTCCAAGGGATGATGGGCAGCTGCCACAAGTCCTTGATGCAGCTGCTCTTCTCCTCCAGATTCCACAGCAGCAACTTCCCAAGCTTTGCACGGCAGCAGGTTGGGCCGAACGTAACTTTGGCCTTGCTTTTCTGCAGCCGGCGCACAGAGAGGAGGTTAGCGGATAAACCTTCAACCAACAGCACATTTCCCAGCCCCACAAGCCCCCCATTAGCTCCCATAACCTTGGCATTCCCAACACCAATCACAGGGAGCAAGGCACCTGAAGCGGCAGCCACAAACTTTATCTTCCCAGGGGGCTTCACCTCATCAAGCAAATCTGCCCGTGGAGTCATGTGACTCGTGCAACCTGAATCGATCACCCAGTGAGTGAGGGGGTGCATCACAACCTTCCCAACTGAACCCACATCACCCCCATTCCCTTGCACGTCCTCAACCATGAGGAACATACCAGGGTCGGCTTTACCTTGTGCACCATCACCTTGTGCACCTGAATCTTGCACAGCACCACCTCGTGCACGTTCACCACTTGGCGGCTTCATGCCTGGAGGCGCCCATCCTTCAGGCCGGCTGAAACACTTGAACCATGGGTTTCCAGCCTTCTTGCAGTACCAGCACGCACCCTCCATTCGGGTACTCCCCCTGCCACCAGAGCTCCCATGCCCCTCATTGTAGTCACCTCGGCCTCTCCCTCTGCCAAAGCCTCTCCCACGGCCTCGGCCTCTCCCTCCCCCTCTCCCTCTGCTGCCTCCTGCAGCTCCATACCCCTCGGCAGTTTTGTTGGCAGCACCACCTCCAGTGTGGCGCCTGCGGAAGTCCTCCTGCAGGATCTGCTGCCGTAGCCACTCAGGCGTCCATTTGTCCTGCTGAACGTTGAGGGTGGGGATGAGGTTGTCCCACGAGTTGTCGAGCACCGAGATGATCTTGGTGCACTGTTGCATCTGCGACACTTCGCTGCCCGCCGCTGCCATCCTCGCATAGGTGTCCTTGATCTTGTCAAGGACCGGCTTCACATCATCTCCCGGCCGCATGGAGAGGGCTGCCAACTCCTTCTCCAATACGATCACCATCGGCTGCGTGTTGGGTTGAACCACGTCGCGTAGCAGCTTCCACGCCTTCGGTCCCGAGTCATCGAGTTCCACCAAATCCTTGATATGCTGGAACATGTCGTTGTTGACCGACTATAGAATCAAGTCGTACAGCACCGCGCTCCGCTCAATCCACCGATCGCGGGCATCTCCTTCCTCCGGCATCTTCTCTTCTCCCATAGCCAATTTTAGCAGCTTGTAGCGCTTGAAGGCGCTCCTCATCCGCCCACTCCATTCCTCATAGTTGGAGCCATCCAATGCCTCAATCTTGGATGGTGGCGGCTCACTCTTCTTCTCAGCTGCTTCTCCACTCCCTTGAATCATCTCCTCTTCTCCCAATCAGAGGTTTTAGCTCCCCCTTTTGCTGGTCAATATGTAGATCCACACAATCTTCACAACTGTCGGCGCCAACGAAATTTCGGCAGGGTTTCCCCTTAACGGAAGTCACATCCAACCTCTAGAACTCCACTTAGGCACGCCCACAGGCCATGGTGGGTCTAGGAGGGTCTTCACACTTCAGTAGACTCTCCACAAAGTCCTTAATCAGCTCTGATACCACTTGTTAGAGACTAAGGATGGAGTCTACGAAGATTAGGTGGCTAAAATTCTCAAAATCGTTGGCTTGAAATTCTGGACAGAAACCGCGACTTCACAAGAAACGTTGTCGACGAAACGTGCACCGTTTGAATCGTCTCAAACTCGAATATGTTATAGCCCTTGTTTGTGGCTATCATTCCCAATTTGAATCGTATCGAAAGGTGGAGTAAATCTCGAGTTATGCTTCTCGGCGCACCAGGGGGTATGCTGCCACATAGAAATTAAATTCACTCACAATAGTTTCACAAGTTCACAAGAGTTGCACACAAGAGAGTTAGAGTAGCACTAAACCAGGTAGGAGGAAAGAGGAGGACGAGAGGGAAGGTCTCAAGGAGTCCCCAACCAAAGAAAACTCCATGCCACACAATTCCCTTCCCCATAGGCAACCCAACTTTGACCTTTGTCACTATCCCAACCTCCACAATCCACCTCAACCCAACTTGGCCACACTTGCCAACCTGGTTTGGTTTCTCCCAACCAATTGGCAGCAACTACAGTAGTAGTGACGAGTTTCCCAACCCCCAAAAGTCTGTACCCCATATTGAGTCAACCCCACAACTCTCCATGGTCACCACAACCAAATATCAAAAGCATACGAACTCCAACGTTCGTAACTTTCTTGTTCGTGCTCCGATTGAAGCGATACTTGGTTCGTCGGAAAGCTCTTGAGCAGAGGATTCACTTCAGATATCTGCTCAAGCCAAATAACATTCACACACACTCAGAAAAATCAAACCACATCAAACACAAATTCTTGCACACGCTCACACCACGCATGCAACGCACGAACATATGATGGGAGGCAGACAGACGTGAATGCATATGATTGCATCACACAACACGCTCCACTCACCAAGTTCGTAGAGAACGAGGGGAGGTAGAGACCAGACAGGGTGCTAGAAGGGGCTGCAGGGCACGGAAGGACAGTAGAGAAGCTAGCAAGGACAGGACCCCCAGAGGGGTCTATTAGGGAGACTGCAACCGGCCGACTAAGCGGCGTAAGAGTGTTGCGGTCTCGAAAGAAGGAGCGGGACGCACCCGAGTCCAGGGTGAAGGTGTGGAAGGCCTGAGCCAACGTAGTACCTGAGAGAGCAGACTCACCAGTACCTGGGGCGGCACACGCACTGGCACGTGGGGCAGCAGTCGCACTAGCACCTAGAGCAGCAGCCTCTCCAGCACCTAGCGCAGCGGCCTCAACGCCCGGGTCAGGCGGTACACATAGGTAACAGGCACCCTCAACACTATCAGCAACAGCATACATGGCAGCAAGAATAGCATCAAAGTCAAGATCAAAGATGGCAACCCCGGCCTTAGCCAGATCTCCCCAGCGAGGGATCTGTGACGCCTCAGGGAAGTGGCGATACCACGCGTCCGTCAGGCGACCAAAACAGCGCTGGGTGGAGTGCGGACCTCCGCACTACTCACTAGTGCGGTCGCCGGTACGGAGAACGTAAGTGCAGGGACCAAAACCCCCACTGCGCTGGCGTGCAGTGTACCACTCACGAATCTGCTGAGGGGAGAGGGTCACACCACTCCGCTGCTGCTGCTGGCGCTGACCACCACCGGCGCCACTCCTCGGCGCACAGTCGCGACTCGCTCCACCACCGCTGCCGCCGCCATCGCCGCCTCCGCCGCCTCCTCCACCTCTGCCTCCTCCACTACCTCTGCCGCCTCCGCTCCCTCCGCCACCTCCACCGCCTCCGCCGCCTCTACTGCTGCCGCCGCCGCCGCCACCCCCGGCACCACTCCCACCACCACCCCCACTCCCTCCCCCGCCTCTACCACCACCTCCACTGCCCCCTCCACCCCCTCCAGTGCCCTTGCCCCCCTGGCCCTTGCCGGTGCGACGTCTCCCGCTCGAGGCAGACGCAGCGCCGACCGACTCGAAACCAACGAGGTTGGCCGCAGCAGCAGAGGCAACAGAGGGCAAGAGGGGGGAGGGAGAACACCCCTCAAAGACGGGGGTGCGAGGGTCACCACGAGAAGCTCCTACAGCGACTATGCTCTTCTCTATTGCTAGGAGGGCTTTCTCAAGGAGGTCAACGGTGAGAGTGGTGGGGTAAACAGAGAGGAAGTGGTCCCTGACTACGCGAAGAGAGTCAGGGAGCCGGGTGACTATGTAGTCGAGGGTGATGTACATGGGGGGGGGGGGGGGTTCTTGGCGCATAACTCAGCAGGAAGCGCAGCGCGGTAGCGAGTGTCACTAGTGCAGAGGTGCGTAATGAGGTCAGCGACAGTGGGAAAGGCAGTAAGGTCAGGGAAGAGGTACGGTAGCATGAGGCGGCTCAGTGCAGCAGTGGCAGGGGAAGAGTAGCGTGCAACTACAGCGTCGTACAAGGTATGAGCACTCTTGTACTGGCTGAAGTGTGCACGCTCAGTGGTCGGTAAGTGGCGGCAAACAGCAAGGCGAGCAGCAGCATTACGTGTGGCCCACTGTGAGCGAACCGTGGCGTCAGCATCAGCAGTAGGGGCAGGGGAGGCACTAGAAGTGAGGTCAAACAGGGAGAGGCCGTCTGCCCTATCGCACTGCAGGAAAAGCTGAATATCATCTACCCAGACCTCAAAGTCCACTGCCCGACCCTCAGCGTCAAAGGTGAGAACGCTAGGGGAAGCCATAATAGTAGTAGGCAGGGCAGTGCAGTGGCAGAGACTGTGCTCTTACCAGGTAGGTGGGGCGATCGGGCTGCTTGGCGGCTCAGCTGTCGGGCGGCTCGGCTGCAGGGCGGCTCGGCTGCTGGGAGGCTTGGCTGCTGGGCGGCTCGGCTGCTGGGCGGCTCGGCTGCACGGTGCTGGGCGGCTCGGCTGTCGGGCGGCTCGGCTGCTGGGCGGCTCGGCTGCTGGGCGGCTCGGTTGCTGGGCGGCTCGGGCGGTCGGGCGGCTCAGCTGGCCGGCGGTTCGGCTGCTCGGCGCTGCTGGCGCTGGGCGACGAGGTCGCAGGTGGTGGTGAGGTCGAAAGGGTGGGCGGGGCCGCGGTGGCGACAGGGCCGAAGTGGGCGACGTAGCGGGGCCGCGACGGGGCCGTAGCGGGGCCTAAGCGGGGCCGTAGCGGGGCCGACGGGGCCGAAGCGGGGCCTAAGTGGGGCCGTAGCGGGGCCGACGGTGCCGTAGCGGGGCCGTAGCGGGGCCTAAGCGGGGCCAACGGGGCCGAAGCGGGGCCGAAGCGGGGCCGTAGCGGGGCCGTAGCGGGGCCTAAGCGGGGCCGTAGCGGGGCCGAAGCGGGGCCTAAGCAGGGCCGTAGCGGGGCCGACGGGGCCGTAGCGGGGCCGTAGCGGGGCCGTAGCGGGGCCGACGGGGCCAAAGCGGGGCCTAAGCGGGGCCAAAGCGGGGCCGACGGGGCTGAAGCGGGGCCGTAGCGGGGCCGTAGTAGGGCCTAAGCGGGGCCGACGGGGCCGTAGCGGGGCCGTAGCGGGGCCGACGGGGCCTAAGCGGGGCCGACGGGGCCGTAGCGAGGCCGTAGCGGGGCCGTAGCGAGGCCGTAGCGGGGCCTAAGCGGGGCCGTAGTGGGGCCGTAGCGGGGCCGTAGCGGGGCCTAAGCGGGGCCATAGCGAGGCCGCGACAGGGCCGTAACCGGCCTAAGCAAGGCCGTAGAGGGCGGCTCGAGGGGCAGTAAGGGCGGCCAACAAGGGCCACTAAGGCGCTACTCGGGTTAGGAGCTAAACGCGCTCCGGGCAGGGAAGGGAAAAAAAAAAATTCCGTGATGTGCCCTAGGCAGTATTCCCACTCGGGAACCTGCTCGATACCATGACGAGAAGTGAGAATGGAATGAATGAACTATGAAACAGTTGGGTACAAGTACTAACCCTAATTGGGTTGTACCCTTATGGGCTATCCCACTACAGCCTACACAAATGTATAAGCTATAATGTTCTGACAGACGGCGTCGTGGAGCCGACCGTCTCGCTGGCGCCGGAGGCCGGCGAGGACTTCCAGGCAGTGGCGGCAGCTGTGCAGACGAACTCGTTGGTGGTCCTACTTGACAGTAGCTGCTCGCACCACCTAATGGGGATGAAGGAGGCCTTCTTTGACTTGGGGCCGAGCGGCGACGTGAAACACGTGCGAGGCTTCAATGGGGCGCTGCCGGTCATCCAGGGCCGCGGCACTGTCACTCTGCAAGGGGAGGCCGGGAAGCAGGTGCTCATCCCCGACGTGCTCTACGTCCCAGGTGTGCGGTTGAACCTTCTTTCGGCCGTCCAGCTGAAGGAGAACGGCGTGAAGCTGCAAGAGGACGGCGACGGGATGTTGCTTGTTTCAGTTGCGGGAGACGTCCTCGGTCGGGCGTCTTACACCGACCAGCGTCTCTGCTTGGCAAAGTCGACAACATCCGCAACGGAGATGGTAGCCCTGCGGGCGATAGTCTCGACGACGAAGTCGACGCTAGACAGGTTGCATGTGAGGCTTGCATTCGTCGGCATGGACACCATACGGAGCTCGACGAAGCACGAGGTCGCCACTGGGCTGGACCTCAAGTCGGCGACAGGCGCCAACACACCGTGTGTCTCGTGCGTCGGCGGGAAGCTAGCGCGGCACAACTTCCCCGACCAAGGCTCCGACGCCGACAACGTGCTGGCCGTCATGCACATCGACCTGTATGGGCCATTCCGGGTGGCCGCCAAGGATGGCAGCCTGTACGTCTTTCTGTTGAAGGATCGCAAGACCCGCTACGTATGGGTGAGGCCGGTCGTCAAGAAGTCGGACGTGCTGCCCGAGTTCTAGAAGTGGCTGGTGTTGGTGGAGTGGCAGATGAAGAAGTCGGTGCTAATGCTTCGCTCCGACCAAGGGGGGAGTTCCTCGTACGGGCGTTCACTGACTTCGTGGACGACAAGGGGATCGTCCACAACCTGACCTACTAGTACACCCCTCAGCAAAATATCATGGCGGAACGGGAGATGCGGACGGTGGCGGAGTCGGTGCGGACGATGCTGCTGCACATGGGCGCGCAGCACCACTGGTGGCACCTCACTCTGCGGCAGGCCGTCTGGGTCCGCAACTCCCTTGAGAGGTCGACCCTGCCGCCGGAGACAACGCCGTACCAGCTGCTCACCGGGCAGAAGCCTGACCTGTCACTGGCATGGGTGTGGGGCTGCATGGCACAGTTCTTAGTCCCCGAGCAGCAGCGTGGCGGAAAGCTGAAGCCGAAGGCCAAGTGGGGCCTTCACCTCGGTGTGTCGGCGGAGAGCAAGGGCAGCGAGCTCCTCGACATCGCCGACAACCGGGTGGTCACCACGTCGGACGTGGTATTCTACGAGGATATGTTGCTGGAGGTGTGGAAGTCGGAGCACGGGCCGGTGTCTAGACGGACGCCGACCACCCCGCCGTCCGACTTCTCGACGACGACGCTGCCTCTGCTCACCGAGGTCGGTGAGCTTGCTGGTGAGGACGTCGAGGTCGTCTGTCCTCCTTCCCCTCCCCCTACGACCCCTGTCCCTCCCCTCGTGGCCGACCTGCACGGGCTGACTCTTGTGTCGGCCTCTGGCGATGAGGGGAGTAGTGGGACGTCGCCTTCGGCGCCGGCCAAGGGCGTTGCCGGTGGCCGACGTGAAGAGCGGCAAGTCGACATGGGACTGCAGGTCGAGGAGGAGCAGGGCGAGCAGGTCAAGGAGGAGCAGCCGACTTGGATGAAGTCGACAAAGAAGACACCAGTAGGCAGCAGCCGACAGGAGAGCAGGCTGCGGTGACGCCGACCACGGAGCAGTCGGCAACCAGGCAGTTAGCTAAGGAGCCGACTATAGGGGAGAGGTCGGCCAGGAAGTCAACTGAGGTGCAGCAAGACGACGAGGGCAGCAAAGCCATTGACGAAGGGGAAAAGTCCACCGACAGGGACATGGTGGAGGCTCAGCCTGAACCCCGGAAGTCAGGCCGACTTCGGAGGCCGTCCGACTTCTTCGTCCCCACTGCCTTCCCCACGGTGTACGATGTGGACGACGACAACATGGCGTATGACGAGGTCGAGGAGGATGAGGAGTTCCCAGAGCTCGACCCCGACCTGCATGCAGACCCCGAGCACCGTTGGGACATCTTGACGATGATGGTAAAGGAGGCGTTGGCGAGCTGGCAGGGCTCGGCGGTGAAGGCCGCCATGGAGGAGGAGATCCGCAGCCTCATCAACATGGGCACTTGGGAGCTGGTCAAACGCCCACGGGGAGTGAATATCATGAAGAACCGGTGGGTGTTGATGACGAAGTACCACGTCAATGACACCGTCGAGCGCGAGAAGGTGAGGCTGGTCGTGAAGGGCTTCACCCAGATGTATGGCGCCGACTATGACTAGACGTTCACGCCGGTGGGCAGCTACGTCACGCTAAGGATATTCCTCAGCATCGGCGCCGTCCTCAATCTCAACCTGATCCAACTCGACATGAAGAACGCCTTCCTGCAGAGCAAGCTCGACCGGGTGGTCTACATGTCCCAGCCAGACTACTTCAACGACGGAACCGGCCGGATCTGCAAGCTGCTAAAGAGCTTGTACGGCCTGAACCACTCGCCGCTGCTGTGGTACTTGGCGCTCAACGATGTGCTGGTCGACGTCGGGTGGAAGAAGAGCCAGGTTGACAAGGCTCTGTTCTTCAAGGTCGACGACGACGGAGTGGCATGCTGGGTGCGGATCTACGTCGACGACCTGCTCGCTGCCAGCAGCAGCACCGAGATGCTGAAGGAGCTAAAGGGGTTGCTGGAGTCCGCATTCGAGCTGCGTAAGATCTCGCCGGTGCAGAAGTACCTCGGGTTGGAGATCGTCCGCGACAGGTCGGCGAGGAAGCTATGGCTGCACCAACAGGGCTACGCCGACAAGCTACTTAGGCGCTTCATGGACGAAGAGTAGACCGGGCGCACCCCGAAGACGCTGGTCTCGGTCGACGCCTACACAGAACTCACCTTCGACAACGAGGAGGCACAAGAGCAACAAGAGGAGGAGTACCGGCAGAAGGTCGGCTCGCTGCAGTTTGCGGCGACGACGACAAGGCCGGACATCGCCTTTGCCTGCAGCAAGCTGGGGAGCGGCCTCACGATGAGGAGCGACCAGCACTGGCGCGAGGTCGACCGCTGCCTTGCCTACCTCGCCAACACGCGTGACACCGCCCTGGAGTTCGGCGGTGGACCTGAGTCACTAGAGCTGGCGGTTATGTGGACGCCGACGACGCCGGTGACAAGCAGAGCCGGATGAGCATGAGCACCTATGTGTTCGTCTACGGAGGGGCCGCAGTCTCCTGGTCGAGCCAGCGAAATGGGCCGATGTGTGCCCTGCATTCACTAACACATTTCTCGATGACGCAAATGCGGATACTGTCAAACATTATATATGTTATGCTTGTGTAGGCTACAGTGGGTTAGCCTATAGGGGGTACACAATTCTAGGGTTTCCTACTTGTACTCATTTCACTGCTAGTTTCATTCATTCCTGTTCGCTTATTCTCACATGGTATAGAGCGGGTCCTTCTACGGACCGTTTTTTTTGGGCCCACCGAAGCGCCCCCCGAGGCGCGATCTTTTTTTTTTTTTAGCGACCCCTCGGGTCGCCATTTCCCCTGCGGCCCCGCCGCCTTCACTGACGCGGCCCCGCCGCCCTCTCTGTCGCGGCCCCGCCGCCTGCTCTCACGCGGCCCCGCCCCGGCTCCTTCGCG